AAACTGTTGTTCTATTTAAAAATATCAGTACTAACAGCAGGCCACTCTAATTCTATCCCATGTCTTTGATCTTGATAAATTTCACAAGCATCCATGTAGTCTTCCAAATTGGAAATCTCAATTTCCTTCTTGAATTTTTTCTTTTTTATTCATCTCATTTAATTGATGGGTTGTCAGATCCTACAAATTCTACATAAATGTCTAATGATGACTAAAGGGTTAAGTAATGTGACAAAATACTTTTGATGATAAAAAGTATAAATTATTACAAAGATATGCATAGTTATTTCACTGGAAGCACCAAGAAGGTAGATGGACAAAATTTAGTCAGAAATATGGTAAAGAACTATAAAACTTTTCATATAAAAGAGATAAACATTGACGAGGAAAGCACAACATTGAGCAATTTCATTACATAATACCCTGAAAAAATATGGATCTGTTCACACATCTGCATGAGATTCAAGTACTCAATTTTTACAGAAATTTTCTCAGACCTGTTTTCTAAAACCAGCTAAAATTACTTAACATTGGACACAACATCCCAAATGAACAATAATTTTAAACCCACTTTACTAGAGAATACTGTAAAAGGGTGAAAATTCACATTTTTCTGCTAATTTAATGTAGAGAATGCAAAAGATGAGAAAGGACATGAATGGGTAGTTTCTTGGTCCTTTCAGGCTGGAGCATACAAACATTTTTGTTGTTTAGGGAAGAAGGCCCACCAATAGATGAACAGATAAAGAAAATGTGATATTCAAACATGATGGAGTACTGCTCTGCCACAAAGAAGGATAAACTTCAGGTATTTGTTGGTAAATGGATGCATCTTGAGACCATAATAAGTGAAATAAATGAGACACACAAGCTAAATATTGAATGGCTTCTCTGATATGAGAAACCCAAAATATAAATAAAGAGGAAAATTAAATATAGATAACATGAAATAGGGAGATCTTTTTCAAATAGGAAGAGGAAAAAGAGATGTAGGAAACAGGGAGGTAAGAGAGGGATAGGGGATGAAAAAGAATTAAGATGTGTTATGTACATGTGCCAGCTCCCTGTGATAAATGTAATCATTGTGCACTGAAAATATGTATTAATAAAAATTAAAATTAAAAATAAATTAAAGGAGAGTTTCAGAATTCAATCTATGCTTACAAATAAACATAACAAAATGTCCCAAGGTATCTCATTGTGTGAAGAAATAACAAAGTGAGCTATTCCCAAGAGGAACCTCAGGGAGTATCTTGTTTACATCTCCTCTCAGGACCTCAATCTTTTAATAATTCCTCATAGAAAAATATTCAGTTCAGGGCTTTAAAAGTAAACATTTATTCCCGCAAAGAATCCAGGAAACACCTGGAAAGGACGCCACTGCAAAATCCAATTTGGGCCTCACTGTCAGATGAGAAGGTTGAGAATCCTTCTCATCACGGGGACCCTAACTCCAAGTGTGCAGCTTAGATTTCTGGTTCTCTACCCTATTTAGTGCGAGATACTCTCTCGTCTGTAGTTCTCATCTTTAAAGCGCAGCAGGCCTCCTCCATGTAAGGAGAAAGATGCCAAAGTGACCAATAAGAGTCTAAAGGCAACAAGACCCTCCAAAACCATAAATCTTGAGTCTATCCTGACAGAAGGGCAAATCCTTAATTCTACAACCCACACAAGATATTTTGGAGAGAAGATCTTTCTTTTCCCATCTTTTTTTGAATCTTTAACTGTACAAATCTTGCTATTAGGGTCTTTATGAGAGGATCAGTTTGGGTACCTGGAGCCCCAGGAAACCAAAAGGATCATTTTATTCAAATTAATAATGTTTTTTCAATGACCAGAATCTTCCTATTCTCTGATCATTCAGTCAACTAAACATTGGTACTCTTTTGCTCTTTTACTTTTCTTGCAACCTATTTTTGGTGAGATCCACTGGAACTTTCTGCAACTGACAGTCAATTGCCTGGAGAGTAGGGGCCAGTCAGAGCTTGGTGAGTACAAAATGTAGTTCTACAAGAAATGGTCCCATAGTTCTCAGAGGCATTAATACACTTGAGTCAAAGAGTTGCAAATTGAGGGTGTATTTCTATTCTCACTTGAAGAATTGCTGAGATGCCCTCTGACCTGCACAGGTAGCCCAAATGATATTGTCTGTGTTTCTCCTTGAGACAGGATCTCCATTCTTGGATTCATTCAGTTGTTTATTCAGACAGTCAGGGAACATTCATTAAAAATTTATTACATGCCAAGAGATGCAGATATATGGAGTGAAATAGAAACTCCAAGTCATGTCAGGGAGAGAGGCTTGTAAACATACAATCATGTATATTTAAAAATCATATGATTATATACATATGTCAGCACTCACCAAATTGTACATAAGAATATGCACATTTCGTGGTTTTTTATAAAATGGAGTACTACTCAGCCATAAAAAATGAGAAATTAGAGACATTTATAGCTAAGTGGATGCACATTGAGGCAATACTCTTAAGTGAAATAAATAGGACACACATGAATAAATTCCAAATAGTTTCTCTGGTGTGAGAAACTGAAAGAGTAAATAAGGACTAAATGTATAATAGGTAATGTGAAATAGGAAGAAAAGGGGCAAAAGGGAAGGAAGTGGGAGGGCTAGAGGAAAGGATAGGAGGGAATGGGATTAATATGAGAAAATGGAAAACTAGGAACAAAATCTTTGTAAATAGGGAGGAATGGAGGGGTTAAAGGGAGGGCTGGGCAAGGGTGAAAAATAAGAACCAAGAGAGATTATGTAAAGGTGCAAATTTCCAATGATGAATGTCATTATATTGCATGCCTAAAATGTACCAATGATTAGAATGAATAATCGATAATGTAAAATAGGAAGAAAAGGTCCAAAGGGGTAGGGGTAGTGGGAGGGGCAGGAGAAAGGAAAGAAGGGAAAGGAAAAATGATGAGAAATGGAAAAAATGGAAATAAAGTCTTTGTAAATAGGGAAAGGTGGAGGGCGTGAAGGGAGGGCTAGGAATGGGGAAAAAATAAGAACCAAGATGCATTATGTAAAGGTACAATTCCCAATGAGAAATGTAATTGTGTTGTATACCTACAATGTACCAATAAAAAAATTTAATTAAAAAAAAAGAATATGCACATTTCACTTATTGCATAAACATTTGCAACAATAAAGCAGTAAAAATGGACTTACCAAAATTTATTAGAAGGGGTGAAGTCAGTAATGAGATTTTATTGATAGTGTTAAGAACTTTTGACTTATAGCCATATTATATGTAAAACTTTTGATAATGACTTTAATAAGGAACGTAATTTACTCTTTAAATACACACAAACACATAGACACATAATGAGACAAATCTTTTTTTTAATTATGCTTATATTTTTGCAAGAGATATTTTCTTTTCTTCTTCAGTTTTAATAAATGCTAGTGGTAACCCACTAATTTTAGTTCATTTTCCATTAATATGTTATAAATCATAGTTGAAAAGCACTGAATTAAGCAAGAGTTTATTTTGGTTATTGATGTCATTGACTTTTTCATTGTTCCTCTGTGTAATATCAAACTGAAGTGAAAGAGAAAATCTTTCTTATTTGATTTCGCCAGTCCCTCAAAGTGGTCCCTGATTCTGCCTTCCTAGTCCCTCAAAGTCAATGAAAATTCCTATAAGTCGAGATAGACTGAATTCAGATCTGGTATAAATTAAAACATTTTATATAGAAAACTGTCATCTAGTGGCCTTGAAATCAAGCTGCACTTGGTAATTCATGAGCCAGTGGTCTGGCCGCAATTCTGTTCTCATTTCCCCTATACTGCCAGTTAGATATAGGTTCTTGTGCAAAAACAAACCCTTACATGACTTATACATACCTCAAGATGGTCCTTTCAGGAGCTGATTAATGCTATGATATTGCCTTCATTCTAAAGGACACTTCTAAGACTACTACTTCAATCCTTCCCAGCCACACCTCATTTCAGCTGTGAGTTCCAGCTACATACCACCTTCCCTAACTCTTCCTGATCTACTTACTACCCATTAGAGTCACATTTTGGATTTGTTCCATATGTGCAGCAGAATACAGTATAGAATTTTAGTAGTGTTTCCTGCTGACTTCAGAGCATCAGACCAGTGCCTAATTTCCTACCAGTGCACCCATCTAACTCACTGGATATTCTGAATCAGACTGCAGTATAAACCATGAGGTCAAACATTGCTGCACAAGATAAAACATTGCAGCTTATGCAGACAGTTGTTGTGGCTGAGTTTTGTCTCCATGAAGGGCTTCCATAGTTTGTGGTGCTGCCTATGTCCAGGTGCCATTTTATTGTTTTGGATCCACAATAATTAGGTCCCTTTATACCTTATCTTTGAGCATATTATCACAATCAAGGAGCATTTCTCTGATCCAGTAAAGAATTTAGGAAAGGACAAGGACTGTAGGTTATAATGCAACTTAACTTAGCCTCCATTTCCCTTTTTACTTGGAAAGACAGACGATAGAGATTCCACTGAAATAAAATACAGTTTATTATTGGCATCTGCTGTTTGATGAAATTAAAGTTAGATCTGCTTCACGATCTGTATGCTAGAAAATAAAACACAAACAGGGCTTTCTACTTAAGGAAGAAATTCTTACAGTTTTACAAATCCATATAACACATTTGTATCATTTTTCTTTGCTTTAGAAGAATAACATGTAAATTTCTATGGAGCTATTTTCTGGTTTTAGCCACACAATTGCTGAACAATGCCTCTATGAATGACAGCACATTGAAGCAGCATCACCAAAAAGACATAATCTGGGTCTCACTGCACCTACTGACCAAATGGCTACAGAAGCATATATGGGTGAAAAACTTAGAAAAACAGTATCTTAAATGTTTACAAGAATTTTAAAAATCAAACATACTTGTTCCTCCAATGAACCCTTTACTTCTAGATTTGCTCCATCATGATCAACATTTGACTTCTGTACGCATGCTAATATATAGACAGGGATAAATATCCATGGGCAAAGAAAACCAAACTAATCTGACTGAATTCATCTTGCTGGGCCTTTCTTCAGATGACCAAACCCAGATCCTGCTCTTTGTGATATTTCTCATCATCTACCTGCTGACTGTGTCTGGAAATCTGCTCATCATTCTCCTAATTCACATTGATTCTCGACTTCATACACCAATGTACTTCTTCCTTAAAAATCTGTCATTTTCTGATCTCTGTTTCTCTACAACTATTGTTCCCAAGATGCTATTACATTTTCTGGTCATGAGAAAGACTATTTCATTTGCTGGGTGTTCAATTCAGATGTTTTTCTTCCTAATAATGGGGTGTACAGAGAGTTCACTGCTAGCAGTGATGTCCTATGACCGCTACGTGGCTGTCTGCAAGCCTCTGCACTACTCCACCATCATGACCCAGAGAGTTTGTGTTTTGCTAGCCATAGGGTCCTGGGCTAGTGGTGTATTTGTGTCTTTAGTAGACACCACCTTCACTTTATGCCTCCCGTATCAGGGATCGAATGTAATTAACCACTATTTTTGTGAGCCTCCTGCACTCTTGAAGCTGGCTTCAAAAGAAACCTACAAAGCTGAAATGGCCATTTTTGCAATGGGCGTGGTCATCCTCTTGGGTCCTGTCTCTCTGATCCTTTTCTCCTACTGGAATATCATCTGTGCTGTGATTCAGATACAGTCAGGGGATGGGAGGCTCAAGGTCTTCTCTACCTGTGGCTCACATTTCATTGTTGTTATCTTCTTCTATGGGTCAACAATATTTACCTACATGCAGCCAAATACAAAGAAAATGGATAAGGGGAATAAGGTGATCTCAGTGTTCTACTCAGTCATAACATCCATGATGAACCCCTTCATTTATAGCCTGAGGAATAAGGATGTGAAGGAGGCTTTTAGGAAAGTGCTTAGAAGATAAAGCCTTGCAGAGGCAAGGATCTTTATACTGGTATATAATGGGAGTAAGGAGACATTCCAAAGTGCAAAATCTTTAACAGTTATTTTTTTAAACCGTCTCTAATCTGAGACATCAGCAAAGGTCATGCATGTATGCTTGCACCTCTCAGAATGCTTTCAGCATTGCTCACTGCAGTCTTACACAAGTTTATTTTCTGTGGCTGCAACTTATGACAGCATATTTGTTACTACACTGAAAATATTTTTAAATAGAGAGCAAGGTCTTCATTTGTACTGTTTGATCTGTATAACAAATTGTTTTCATCCAAGGATATTTCCTTTTGGCTCTAAACCCCATGGCTACTTGTCAAACTTACCTCATGCTAGGATCATCCATAGCCATTCAAAGATCTTGAAATCCTAACAGATGTCAATAAGGTAGTTTTCCCCAGTTTCCTGTGAGAAAATGTCAATAATTTTTCCATAAAACTCTGATACTGAAGACATATTTTTAATCTCTAAAATTTCAAACTACTACTATAGCCAATTCAACCACAAATAGGGGAGTGGTTGGCAAAGTCAACAAGACTCAGGATCTCACTTTTCACCAAATGTCTTTATTGCACAGTGGCTTGCTCTAAAGATAACTGCTGACTTGAAGAAACTAGAATTGAGAAGCAACTTCCCTACACCAGAACTGTCATGTGAGGAACCCCTGTGACTCTAACAGTCCTCAGCATCCTCTTCCCAAGACATATTGTCCTCAACTCTACCACTATCCATTAATTTCTCCTCAGTGAAAAATAGAACAGAATGACTGACACATAAAAGGAAGTCTTGGAGTTTGTTTTGTGGATGAACTGACCCTTTTGTCTTTTCTAAATACCCCTCTGTCAGGCAGAAGTATCACTGGTGACATAACTGCAGCTTCTCTCCAGAGTTTAGGATATATGCTGCCCCTCTCTTAGAAGAAAATCCACTGTTATCTCATTTACCACGCTCAACTAAAGGCCTAGCTCTAGGCATGACATAGGATAAACCCAATGCTTCATTGCTATGCAGGATCATTATGAATTTCCGTCCCTTGTGTCAGAATCTGTGAGCTAGAAAAAGCTAGTTGTGGACCATCTCAGTACTGCCTATTTCCCTCTGTGGCTCTCCATTTCTCCTGGCAGACATATTGTGGCATGAGCATATTCAAGTACTTGTACTTCCTCTGGCAAACTTACATGTACTCCCCCTCCCCCCAATTTGTCCCACTCTTCTGCCATGGAGGCCTTTGTAGGGGTTCTTGTCATATGAAGAATAGTGCTGCTATGCTCATCGTAGCAAAATCCTTCTTTTACAAAATGGGAAGACTATACACTTTATTCCTGGAAGTAGTTAACAATTAGAATTCACCTATCATTGGTGACATTCTCTTAACATGTGTTTAAACAAAGTGATTAGGGGTAAAGATCAGGCAGAGAAAACTAGAAAATTCTGACTTTGAACACTGAAGCTTCCATACCCAGGGTCTGTCTTTAGTACCCAATGTTGTGCATGCTATATATTGCCATCCTCGCTGAATCAAATGCATTGTGCGTAGGATGATTCAGCATGGGAGATCAAATATATGCAACAATAGATTCACTATATCCATGGGATGTGTAGTATTTTCAGGGAACATGTGATCCTATGCAAGGAAACACCTTCAGTGAGTTTGGCATCTTGCCTTCATCAAACACTGAATTATCTTCAAATTTTGAATAAGCAAGAATGTTGTATTCAAGAACTTTAAAAATGCAGATATATTAACCCAAGCCTATTTAATATACATAAAACGTGTGAATTAATACATATTTCAATATTGATATTTCTAAAGGATTAAGTAGTATTTTAGGATCGATTGATAGCTTATTGAATATATACAGCGGGCATATGAAAAAATATAATTAAAAATTGAATACTTGTCTTATTGCAGTATAAGAAAAGATGCAATAAACTCTATTGAAATAAGTTAACTTCAGTTCTTAGCTGTTTTGATCTAAGTATCTAATCCCACCACTCTGGTAACTTGCCTACTGCTAAACACAATTTTGTACTTTTTAGCACTTACTCTTCTGCCCTCTCCTCTCTCAAAAGGAAGCAGATATTGTATGTCCAAAGCCAGTAATAATGAATACTAGGACAAGAAAAGCTCAAAATGTATGTCTGTTTTGAAGAAATTATGGTTCAGTTCCACATTCTGGGGTCACTGTTCTCCCATGAAGGGTAGGCAGGTGGAGAGCGACAGATCGTGTCAGCCTGGCTTTTAAAATGGTGGTTTCCCCTGTTAGAAAAAGTTGAGACTGTGAAACAGGTTGGAATGAGGTTGATTCTACAAAAAGGTCTTAACATGGAACATGCTGAAGAAAATTATTATGCACACATTAACTTGGAAAATTGCTTACAGAAGAAATGCTATATACTGATGAACTCAAATCATAGCATTCCTACCCTAAAGTTCTGGTCAAGAGTCAGGATACTAATCTTGGTGCTGTTGGCCTTACCAACTTGTAGTTTTGTAGAGAGGGACAGTTGAAAATTCTGAAATTGCAATGTTTTTTCCATATTTTCTGGGTTGTGTGAAATATATAACGTGCATCACGGATGAAGGGTGGTGTGTTGTAGTACACAAGACACATTCCAGGTTCAATCACATACATACACATGGAGAGTCAAGAAACATGTAGTTTTCAAAAACTGAGAACAAAATGCTACACTCTTTATGGAGACTGTTGGCTTCTCAGTCTAGGAAATGTTGAAGCAACACCTCAGAACATCACACCTAAAAGATTATTTCACACATGTATTATAAAAATGAAAGTCACAAATCAATGCTATTCAAAGTGTGATATTTGGATTTGTACATTTCCGTGAATTTCTTGCTGCCAGTCTGTGACTTAGAAATGTTTACACACATTTACAGTAACTGTAAAAAGTCATTTTATCAAGTTAGATTCAATCTTTAAAAATCAAAACTATTTTGTATGTCTTTGTTTCTGCTTCAATATATTATTCTAACAATTAGTGTATATGTTTATGAAAGTATCAGTGTACAATGTGTGGAAAATTATAAAAATACAAAAGGGAAAATTGACTCTACACTACAGTCCTTAGAAAAGCAGTATTATAAATGTGTTATAAGTGACAGTAACTACTGTTAGACATGCTTCTGCCTATACCAATTCAAAGATTTTTTTCTTTGCTTGCCATTAAGTAACAGGGAAACAGTATCACACAACTGGAATTAAAACATGGTCACAAATTTGAGTTTATAAAAACTGTATAACTGGGGCTGGGGATTTAGCTCAGTGGTTCTGCCACCTGCCTCACAAGTGCAAGGTCCCGAGTTTGATCCCCAGTACCAAACAAAACAAAACTATGTAACTGACTACAGGTAGGAAACTGATAGAGTCAATGAGGTAAGAAAATCAGATACTCTAGCTGGGAGTGTAGCTTGTCTAGAATTTGCAATGTTTTGAGTGTGATCCCCAGCACTGGAAAATGTCAGATACTGAAAATAATTTTTAAATGGAAATGGCTAGCACTGACTAGATACTAGACTGCGAAGTATTGGCTAGAGGAATATAGAGCATGTGAGAAACTATGAAGTTCCAAAATCATTCCGGTCTGGTAAATACTCATATTTTCTAGAACAAGATTTTACTTTTCAGATTAAGAGAAATAAAATTTCTTTTATTTATACAACATGTCATATATTTTTATTTCATCAACTCATGTGATATAGTTTGAGTTCACTTATTCAATGAATATTTAACTCGTTGATTGACCACATATTTTTAAGCATTCTTTTAGTTGTTGAATACATACCAATGAACAATGTTCAAAATTGCAGCCCTAATAGAATTTAACTGTAAAAAGTTATAAAAATAAATAACTAAAACATACAATATGGTTCATTTTAATAAGTGCTATGAGAAAATAAAAATCAAGAGGGGATGGGCTGTAATTTTAAATAGGTTGTCAGGAAAGGCCATCTTAGATTTAGAGGACATCTCACATTTTCCAGAAATTAGTATTTTTACTGTGACCAGAATGTTGAGAAAAAAAGGAACAACCAAGGAGATATTTGGGAGAAAAGGATTCAGGCAGAGAGACCAAGATGACTAATGGTTTGAGAGAAACATGATATTTGAGATTATCACAAAGAACGAAGTTGTGTTTGGAAGCTAAAGAATGATAAGAAATAGGAGGAGATAGATCAGTAAGGCCCTTGCATCAATTTGCTGGGGCTGCCACAAGGAATTACCACAACCTTTGTGGCTTGAGGTAACAGAAATTTACACTTTGATAGTCCTGCAGACCACAAGTCCCAAATCAAAGTGTCAGCAAACCAGCTCTTTCTCAAGGTTCTAGAGGAGAATCCTTCCTCTGCCAGATTCTGGTGGCTTCTGATGACTTGCAGGTTTCCCTGGTTCGTGGCAGCATAACTCCAATCTTTCTTCTGCTTTACTTGGGCTTCCTTCCTCTTATGTCTTTTTATAAAAGCACTTATCACTGGATTTAAGGACCACCCTAATCCAGGATGATCACATCTCAAGATTTCCTTTAAGTACTTATGCAAATATCTTTATTCCAAAGTGGTCACATTAAGAGCTTCCCAGCAGAAATATGTTTTTGGATAACACAATTCAAACCATTCAAGAAGTCATGAAAAGGCAATTGATTTTACTTTATGTTCAACAGAAAGCTATTCCAGAATTATGTTTTCAAAAACAAGGGGGAATTAAGAGATGAATGGAGGGGGAAGGAGGGAAGGGAAGGGGGACTTAAAAAAGAAATTTAAATGTATCATGTACATGTGCCAATCCCCTACAAGGAACGTAAACATTATGTACTACAAACGTGTACTAATAAAGAAAGAAGAAAAAGTCACTGAGTGTTGTATTGAGAATAAATGGGGTGGGGGGACTGGGAAGTTCAGGTGAGAAATGAGGGTCTGAACTAGGGTTGTAGCAATGGAGGAACAGACAAGAT